TACATATGCAATGAGTTAGAGCATCTAGTAGCACTTTGATAACCGCATTTCGATACGAGTTTCACCCCTCTTAATAGCACGGCTATTGATCCTAAATGTGATCACACTCACTAAGTGTCTCGATCACCAAAACGAAAAAGCTCCTATCAAGTTTCACCTTTGCCTTGAGCTTTTTGTTTTTCTCTTTCTTCTTTTCCAAGTCTAAGCATTTGATCATCACCATGCTATCACCATCATCATGATTTTCACCATTGCTTCATCACTTGAAGTAGTACTACCTATCTCATAATCACTTTGATAAACTAGGTTAGCACTTAGGGTTTCATCAATTCACCAAAACCAAACTAGAGCTTTCAGCATGACGAGGAGGGGTTCAAGGCGAGTCTAGCGGTGCAGCCAATTTGGCTCCAGGCAGTCCGATGGGAGCTGCCCACGGTGATGTGGGCTCGGCCTTAATGGCGTAGTGGCGGGAACAAAGCACCAAAATTGGAGCTCGGCCAGGGGGCCAATCAAGGCGAGGTGAGGACAGCTGGCTTGGCGGCTTGATGGTGGCGCCAGAGACACCATGACATGACCCGAGATGACCTCTCCCTGCCGCACTTAAAGTCGTGGCTCAGTCGGCCATGGTGGGAGAGAGAAGAGAGGGGAGGGAAATACTAGAACTCGACGTGACGTTGGCTTGGCGGGACGCGACCGACGTGACCAGGGCGACACGCGCTCTGGCGCCAAAGCCAAAACGTGCGCGTGCAGGCGGTGGGGTAGCGCGGCGTGAATACGGCCGCCACTCCATTAATGGCGGAGTGTCGCACGACAGGGAAGGAGAGGCAAGCCCACATGCGCAACGCGGCGGGGGAAAGGTCACAGCAGCACAGCAGTGCAAGGCAGAGGCAACGCAGCAGCGGCATCGTAGAGCTAGGCAGGGGAGCAGCGTGCAGGGCGGCAGCGGGGCACCGCGGCCCTCGACGGACCAGCAGCAGGCGCTACGGCCAGAGCGGCCAAGGAACAACCGAGATAGCCTCGGCCGACCAACGCGCGGCAGTGCGCGTGCACGTAGAGCGCGCCCCGCAGCCTGGTGACCGCACCTAGCCCAGAGGGCTAGCCTGAGAACGTGTTGTGCACGGATTTTAAAGCAGTGACTATCGCTAAACCATTGCCTCTAAACCAAAACTGACTTCACCACGATCAAACTGATACATGAGGCTGCTCAGCCGAGCTAAAACACAGCATCATCCTCTAACCCAATCTCTTTAAATAAATTGCTAAACTTAGCAATGTGTAGCTGTTGACAAACTTGGAAATTTTGTAAGTTTTGAGCTGAATTTGATTTTAATTTGCGATATCTAAGCTATTGGAAATACTAGCTAGTAATATCATTTTTCGACAGCAAGTATTTCACTGTCATCTACAAAGTTTATATTTCAAACTTCATTTAAGTGTCACATATGTGTTGTATAGTATTTTTGTTCAATAAAAATTAGTTTACACCCCTACTTATTAACCGTACGAATCGTGGAGCAACTTTCCTTTCGTATTTTTGTTGATCGTTTTAGTTGCAATGCATTATCTACTCACTTCACCACATGCATTAACACATAAGTATGATGTCCAAGACATGATTTAGTAGTTGGTTTAGGACGTAACACCGAGGGTGTTATAGCCAACACGCTAGTCCCCGTTGTGTCGATCGCACACTTGGTGGTTCGGTGGCTAATAGGTGTTTCGCAAATCTAGCCCACACGTTAGGCGCCGCAAGAACATACCCAGAAGTGAGGTAACTCAATGACACACTCTACTAGAGTTGCTCTTCGCGGCTCCCGTGGGACGAGCACAATGCCCCTCACAAATCACTTCTCCGGAGCACCGCACAATCTTCTTTGCATGCTTCGACGGAGACCACAACCTCCAAGCCATTTAGGTGATGGCAATCACCAAGAGTAACAAGAAATCTCCGATCACAAAAATTTTCCTAGTGCCACCAACTGCAAATCCTGAATACACACACTAGGCTCTAAATCCTTCACTCAAATTAGCACCAAGCTTGAGAGGAAGAGGAAAGGGAGGAGGATCTTCAACCTCTGATCCACACCCACACAGGGCACTCAACTCTCCCTAAAAATTTCAGCTCAAATCATGGGAGAGAGAGAAGATGAGGAAGAACCCTAGCTCTTGGATGCAACGATGGGGAACGGAGCTGTGTGGAAGAAGGAAGGGGGGCAACTCCTTTTACCCCTCAGCCCAGCCAGCCAGGCTCCCAGCGCCCACGCACGGCCCAAACGGTCACTGGCTTCTCTCTTACTCCAACTGACGCGCGGGCCCTCTCCATACAGCAACGGGCAGTGGCAGCCAACGGTCACCAGGCGCCGCACGCGCTGCTCCCCCACGCGGTACACTGCATGCGCGCGCCCCTGCTCCCTATCTTCTGGGCTCGGTCGACGGGCTGCTTGCCAGGTCGACGGGCCGGCTCAGTTTGGCTGGCGCACCCACAGCACCTGCAGTACGACAGGCCGGCCCAGAGCACACAGCGCCCTTGCCCATGCGCACAGCAGGGAAGGTTGACGGGCAGGCCCACTGCACGGCCACCACTTCCAGCTCCGACCAGGCCGCTCGGCCCAGCCAAGCCCAAGCATAGAGCAGCACATATTTCTTCTCCTTTTTCAACACTTCTCAAGATTCTAACCCTCCAAAAATTACCAAAATAATTTTAGCACTTGGGTTAGATTTTCACAAAGAATTTTTCAGGGCTTTCTCATCCACCTCACCACGTCACAGTGCGCAATGCATATGCAAATGAAACTCACACTCAATGACACTAGATAACCGTTGCAACTAAAAGATTTCTCCTCTTTATAGTACGGCTATCTATCCTAAATTCGGTCAAACACTTCTCTACTCAACTTAGACCGGTGAAATAAAATGTCCTATATGTTATACCTTTTTCATGCGCATTCCATTCCATCTCCTCCAATGTCGATGCAACACATGCACCAACACGATCAACAAATGATGTGATCCACTTCATATCATCATGTGACCTTATTGGTTCATCGATATTGACCTCACTTGCTCTTCACCATTGCCTTCGTTCATCGACGTCAAGTCTTACTCAAGCTTCACCGCTACGCGATCCATCGCTTCAAAGCCTCTAACTTGCCCTTCACGCTTACAACCGGTTCGTCAAGCCAAGTCTTGTCTTGATCTTCTCCACCTTAGTCACATGACTCTATGTCATGTCTCATATGCAATGAGCTCCTTCATCACATATTTACCTGTCGACTAATTTCCTGTGTATCTCACATAAACACATATTAGTCCACCTAGGTTGTCACTCAATTACCAAAACCAAACTAGTGACCTTTTAGAAACTGAAACCATCCTACCCTCTCTCCATCATCGGGAAGGAGATAAATCCTCACTACCAAAAAACTTGACACAGAGAGACCCTAACCCTAAAAGACTCGATCAACTAAAAAAACTTATTAAAACGATAGATCCCTGCTCCCTCCAGCCTCCGGCGAGATGCTGGAGGGGGAAGGGAGGAGGACCAATGGTGGTGGAGGCGAGGGGCGGCGACGACTCCCTAGGGCAAAACTCGAGAGGGAGGAAACAAGTGAACAAGGTGAACGAACATTCCTAACTTTTATGAAATGTTTTGGAACAACTTTTTTTTCTACTAAACTTTTCACATAACTTTTCAAACAACTTTTCAGATAACTTTCCATACATCTTTTTTTGGTGCGCTTTTCATACAACTTTTTGGACAAGTTTTATATACAAACTTTTTCTACTGTAATTTTTCTACAACTTTTCAGACAACTCTCTGCACAACTTTTTGAATAAGTTTATGGTCAAATTTTTCACTGTAATTTTAGTACAACTTTTATAACAAATAACTTTTCACGAGGACACCGTGAAAAAACGAAAAAAAGAAAGAGTACAACGTTTCAAATATATTTTTAGACAACTTTTGGGTATAACTTTTCACGAAGACACCATGAAAAAACAAAGAAAAAGAAAGAAGAAAGAAAAAAAGAGAAAAGAGGGGGTGGGGATGGGGGGGTGGCGGGGCGTGAGGGACATCAAAAGTCAGACAAGGCATCGTGTGTAGCGGCTCTTTGAGCACAAATAAGAATCTCTGTGTTTATGTTGTGCTTTGTTTGTCCAAGTGTATGTTTATAACTGTCTTTTCAATATACACTAGCCAGTAACCCCACGCGTTGCGCGGGGATAGAAGTATGCCGTCCGTTCTCTACATATTTAAGCCTTTGCGGCTGCAAGTCTTTTAATTTACTAGTGGATAGGCACATGCGGCACGCACGTGTCCATAAAAAAAGTTCATTCTTGAAAATTTCAAGAAATAACAATGCACATTCGAGAGAATTCATATAAGAGATAACAAGAATACAGATACTAATAAATTATCGCAAGAGATGGCTGCTCAATTCATGTAATAGATGACAAGAATTCAGGTAGAAATAAATTGTGTATTTGTTCTTTTTTATTGAACATGAAGGAGATCTTTGTTTTTTCTTCTTCTTAACATAATGACACAACACTCCTGAGTGTTCGAGAAAAAAAAAGAATAAATAAAATATTTTAGAGGCAACAATCATCATTAACCTCAAATAAGCACACGACATATGCAAAAAAAGATTTAATTGCACACGATGTCCATCCACCATGTATGAAGTTGTTTTTTGAAACAATATTTATAGCTGGTATTAAGAACACTAATATGGGACTGATTCATTTCACTGATAGGACATCAAATTAGTCCCTTAGCTAGGATGAAGCAAAGCATGGGGAAGGAGCCTTGAGCAGCGCAGCAGCATTCATTGGATCCATGCTTAGAAAACAACAGCTGCTTCTATCTTTGTGTGCTTACCTTTCATTGATCACAGCCACAAATGGTGAGCTACAAAAATGCTCCAACGTCTGCAACAGTGCAACTTTTTTTTTTCTTGTTATAAATGTAATGGAACAGAGCTTCGCCTACAACACAATCAGTCAGATGCCTTCCCTGCGGAAAAAAATGGAGCATGTAATGGTTGACAAACAAAAACTGAAACTTTCAGTTGAGAAACATATAAAAACATCAATGTAGGATGACTGATACAGAATAGATACTGACAGAAATGCAATGATTACATGTGTGTTGTCAATCCTGTGTTTATAAGATGCTTAGCATAAAAAAATGGGTGCACTACAGGTAGAGCATAAATCAATGACCATTTTCATGACAGGCCAGAAAAGAAATCTATGCTCAACAACCAATTCTGTTTCTCCAAAAAAAGTATATCAAGAGAATGCATGAGTCTATGATCATCCTGCCATGAAAGGTGATTCCACCTTATGCAAAACTCAAAATAATCAGTTGCCTTTGGTTACGACCATGTTCTAAATTGGCTTAAGCTTTCTAGCCAACAGCGAAAATAACCTCGCAAATTAATATCATGTGTTTTGATCAATATCACTGTTAGAAAAAAATACTCTCAAAATCTTTTTTGAAAAATCACTCTCAAAATCTTTGCATGGTGCTGTGTAAAAATAGTTCCAAATGCTTTTATCTCGCAAATTTCAGACAAATTTGTTCTATGTTAACTGATCAAATAAAATGCATTGAAAAACTAATGGGAAAACATACGCCACATTTCTACAGCCTTGCTTCTGTTCACCTTCAGTCAACAGAATGTGTAGCTAGAGCCTAATGATGTCTTGCATGTGCAATATCAGAATGTGCATCCGAAGATGTCAGTATACTTACGAATTTTGGTGAGCCTTGTAATGGTCGAGTAGATGAGAGCAGCTCGAGCAGGAACCAAGAACATCGGCAGCACCCTGAGTGCCCTCATCTGCCAGCTGATGTCCGGCGATCTCGTAGTCATGATGGCATATCCAGCAGCAACAATCTGTCGCATAAAGGAAATAACACGAGACCATCTTCAAGGCCCTAAATCCGAAGCGGCACTCATGAGGTGATCCCAACACGATTCCATTCAGTATCGGTACTAATTCTACTTTCTGAACTGACGTAATGCATCACGTCTGATGCGAGATGACGACAGAATATTGCAGACTACGGTAACGATGGCCCGGCAGGCCGCTCATCCTGACCAAACGATTCCTGATTCCACCGTTCAAACCAGATTCATCGCCCAACATACAACAAACGGAATAGAAACGTCTGCTATGCTATGTATAATTGGATAGATAATTAATCCAGCCGGCACGAGTCGAATCACCTCGAGCGCGGTGGCGAGGGCGAGGACGAGGACGTTGTGTGCGGACTGGCGGCCTGCAGCAGCTTCTCGACGTCCTCGCGGCCGCCGAAGATGCTCTTCCACTTTCGACACCCGCGACACGAGTCCCTGATGCCTCCGCTTCTGCGTTGCCAGGGTCTCCGGCGGCATGGGCGACGGAGGCGGGCGCGTCGCCTTCGGCCATACGCGACGACCGGCACCGGCAGGATCTGGTCTGATCGGATCGGACGGGCCGATGCCCGATGGATGGGAAGGCGGTTTCCTTCGCGCCCTCCTAGCCGCGACGCCGATGGCTGGGGCAGGGGCGCAGGGAGGGGGCGGCCGGTGGTTCGAGAAAGATGTCGCGGCTAGGGTAGGGAGCGAGGAGTACACAGGGATGAAGCGCGGCGGTTGGCGGTGTCGAGAGGCGTGGCTTCGCGGACTCGCGGACGCGGGTACGCGCGGGCGGGTAAGAAAATCATCGCGTGAAAAAACTTGGGTCGGAGGCGCTCGTCTCTCTGAGGAGAACACGCGTTTCACATGTCAGCTGGCAGGAAACGCTTTCGGCCTACAGTTAACCACCTATTCAGATGCGTTAGATGTACATCTACGGAAGAAGATTTAAGGTGGGTAAGATATTTTTAAGGTGACATATATTTTTCAATTCGTTCGCTCCTTTATAATAAGAGTCTGTCTACTGTATATGTGTTTTATGTAATTTTAACATATGAATTTTTTTTGCACCATAGGATTAAGATCCAATAGCTTCCACCCTTCTTCTACCTCTAGCCTTCTTCTACCTTCATACAATCACAGATCCACAGATCATAGATCACATATCACATAAAATAATTTTTTTTCCAATGACAGGACAAATTACAGAGCGGTTCCAGACCCGGCAGTGTTCCCACGCGACAGAGAGCACGATTCCGGACCCAAGGCAGAAGAAGATGAATCGAGCACCTGTGAGGGCGTGCTGATCTTGTCATGTCTTATAATTCATCTTCGTCGGTGGCACCTGGCAGCTCCGTCAGAAGATGAATCGAGCACCTGGCAGCTCATGTCATGAAAAAAAATTCATGTGTTTTTAGTGCTAAAACACAGGTATGTTGTATAGCATTTCTGTATAATATAGATAGATTATGCAACAGCACTTGGCACAGGGAAAAGAGCTGCAGACTGAAGGCACATCACACAGGCCCATGATTTTTTAGCAAGCAAAATCAAATAAAGGCTGAGGAAGAATGGTAACCAAAATTCCAAATCAGCAAAAGAGGAAAAAGGAAAGGACATAATAGGGTAAAATCAATAATGACAAATGTTGTGGTGGCTAATAGCCCAACATAAAAAATTAGCATCTTAGGATAAATTGTATAACACACTCGTTTAAAATAATGCAGCACATTCCTTGAAAGTAATCCACTGCATATGAATTTGGGCGTGCAAATACTGTACAGAAGAACAGGACCTGTGCCCTGCGGTGGAAAGGACATGATTGTGTTGGTTGTGCAGGGCAAAAAGAAGATACTAAGCAGCATGATTGTATTGGTGGACCAATGTCATGGCGTCGTGGGATGGAATCACCTGCCTCCTTGTATTTCTTGAAGAAGAAAAGAACCTGCTGATTATAGAACCAAATTAAACGTGAGTTACTGGTGAAAAATATATGTAGCATAATATTCTGTAAATCAATAAATATTTGTTGCTAGCATATAACCCGACAAAGGTGGCACTTGGGGGAAAAATATTACCATGTAAACTATATATACATTCTCAAGCAAAGGAGTGCACCAATAAAAATGGAAAAGGCGCTGTTACAGGTATATAACACTGTGAGGAGACATACTATCAGTGTTTTGTAAACCGGACTAGTAAATTTATACGAATGCCGCGCTGTTCTAGGAAGACAATGATAGCATCCAAAAGACACGATGATTTATATTGGTTTAGGCCGGAGCCCTATGTCCAGTCTCAGAGATGATCGAGTGCGTTTTCCTCGCTTGAATGCTATGAAGTTCTTACAATGGGGGGGTGCAAGAATGGTGAAAGAGATAGGAGTGCTAGAGCTAGGAAAAGGACTGCTCGAAGGAAAACTTCGAGAGCCCGGTGAGAATGAGAATGATAGGATGAGATCCCCCCCAAAGGAGGCCCTGGCTACCCTTATATAGAGTCTGAGGCTAGGTTTCATACAAAGGAGGTTCTCCCGACCGAAGGGTCGTGAGCCTGAGAGAGGGGGCCTAGCTAACTTGGCTTGCAAGTAACGCCGTCTTGTGGTGCACGCCTTGGCGTGGCTGTCGTCATAGCCTTCTGCTCACGTAGCGGCATGGCGTAACGTGGTGCCACAGTGCCCGTCATGGCGGTACTGTGGGCATGACGGTGTGTCACCAACAATCTTGCGCGGCGTGGTCTTCGTCGTCGCCTCCTGATCGTCCGGAGGCGTCGTACATGAGTAGGTAGCAGCTGAAAGCATCTAGACCCCTAGTTGGGTTTTGGTGATTAATGACGACACACGATTACTGTGACTAATGTGTGTTTTGCAAAGGCAACTTGAGTTAGGTCATGGTAATGGTGATTGATTGAGCAATTATGGTTTTCATGCCCCTGTCGATAGAAATCGCTTCGGTTTTCATAGGATGGATGACAAGGTTAAGGACGGACTAGTTCTAAGTGTCGTTTGGCGTTCAAGAGACACTTAGAGTAGTTTAGGACTTTGTTTCTTTTCCTTTGGCCGTACTATTAAGGGGGGTATGAACTACTAGCTTGATCTAGATGAGTCTAATGGTTTAGGTGTGGTGCACACTTGTCAAACTTAGCACTAGCCATCTCAATGACAGCCCATAGATCAGTTGAAGTCGATGTCGTTCACAAAGTTGGTAAAATTTGAGGTGAACGGAGACTTGGATAATGATCGGATGCTGGACCGGACGCACAGGTGCCGCGTCCGGTCAGTGTTAGCTCGCGTAGCTAGGGTGTGTTCATCGACCGGACGCTGGACCGGACTCACGGACGCCGCGTCCGGTCAGTATTAGCTCACGTTGCTAGGGTTTGCTTTTCGACCGGACGCTGAGGACGTTGTGACCTGACGCACTAGAGGTAGCGTCCAGTCAACAACAGTAAGCATCCAAAGAAAAAAAAATTTGACCGAACGCGTCTGATGGGTGGCGACCGGACACTAGTCAGAGTCCGGTCTCTGATAACTGGGCTGGCGTCATGTAGCTGTTGGCTACTGACCAGACGCGTCCGGTCACTTTGACCTGAGCGTCCGGTCACCCCGAAATGTGCTGAGTTGAACCTCAACGAGTATGTTTTGAAGTGGGGAATATAAATACCTCTCCTACTCGTCCAACTTAGCACTCTTGCCCATATGTTCAGCTGAGAAACACCTTTTGAGTGCAAGGAAGAGCAAGAGTCTAGTGGAGTGATTGAGATATGATAATCCAAAATTAAGGACCTCATTAGTGCATAGGGAGTAGCAAGTGTGCATCCACCCTTCTCATTAGGCTTGTCTTGGTCAAGTGAGAGCTTGTGCTTGTTACTTTTGGTGATCGCCATCACCTAGACGGCTTGGTGGTGATTGAGAACTTGGTGATCATCCGGCGGAGCTTGTGGATGGCCCAAGTCATGGTGTGAGCGGTTGTGGATGATTCACCGTGGAGTGTCAAAGAATCAGCCCGTAGAGAGCACGTGATCTTTGCGCGGATCAAGGGGGAGCTACACCCTTGTGCGGGTGCTCCAACGAGAATTAGTGGAGAGTGGCGACTCTCCGATACCTCAGAAAAATATCGACGCGTTCCTCTTCCTCTCTTTATTTTGAGCATTTATATTTGAGTAATTCAATTCATGTCTCTACATTACTAGAATTGTCATGCTAGAGTAGGATTAGAACCTAGGGTGTAGAACTCTTGTGCGATAGAACAATAGAAACACTTATAGGCACAAGAGGGTGAAATGGGCTAAGTGTAGGGCTTAATTATTGCAAGAAATTTAGAATTAGCCCAATTCACCTCCTCTTGAACATCTTGACCCTTTCAGCAGCCCCCGGGTCGTCGATCGTCTTGCTGCTTGTGGAGTTGGTGGACACGATCCCGAGTTTCGAGGTCGTGGCCCGCGTTGGTTTGGATGGCCTCTAAGTCAAGGCCATCGTCGTGGATCCCATCCCGTAGCGGGTGGGATCGTACAAGCATCTTGTCGGGCCGTAGTTGGACTGTGGTTCTCGGTACCTGTCGTCACCGCTTGACAGTGTTGTCTTTTCTCTGCTGCGTGGCACGAGGATGGCGTCTGACTAGACCGAGGTGACCGCTGTCCCCTCGGTCCTTGTGGGGTCAGTACGGCGTGCTTGCTCTTGTCAGAGCAGGCGCGCTTGGATGGACTCTGTCTCTCCCGTCCCTTCCCAAGGGTCGGGACGGTGAGCGTGCGGCTAAGGCGAGAGGAAGGGGTCGTGGCTGACCCCGACTTTAGTGATTGGCCCGGTCTACTTAGCTTAGCTAGGCCTGAGTCGTTCGGGCTCAAGCTTGGCTTTAGTATCATGGGCCATCTGGCCTGCATGTTATTCGATGCCTTGAGACACCCAGGGATCATAACCCGACACATACACACCAAAATCCAGGTGTAATTAATTGGCCTTTGATGCGTGTTGCCGCAGGGAAGTGTTCCAGTCATGATTGAATAATGAAGAAGTAAGAAAAATTATAGTGACTAAGATGAATACAATCAATCATCTACTGGGCAGACCCGTTTTGCAACATGAAGGTTGACAGAAGTTTCTAAAGGTAGCATCCATAATTATGGTGAGGCAGAACAGAATGTCTTCAAATCCGAAATTTAAGTAGATCCAAGAATATGAGAAATAAACCCATGTCAGTTTGGATTGCATTGTCTGAATCGCAGAATATTTGGACATGATATATTTCAGTTATCTCCCTTGCTGTCTCGTACCTATAAATGGAAATCATGATTAGGTTGACCGTTGCGGTTTTTACCTTTTCATGATAGTTATCGAACAAAAAAAATGTCTTTTATAAGTTATGAAACAATCAGTGTGGGAAATAGTCAGCAGGAAGTGTATATAGGCATCTTCAGGATAAAAACAATATAATGGTGGAACTATGAATCCCATGCAGTGACTAAATTAGAAAGGCAAGAGATTGTTGCGGCCAAAGGATTTACGTTGT